TGCACCATCCTAGAACCTTAAAAGAGCATGTTGTTGTTGTTGTTGTTGTTGTTAGGTGCTATTTAATTGATTTTCTACTCATAGTGAACTCACGCGACAACACAGAACTGCCTCTTAGGGTTTTCTAGACTGTAATCTTGTTGCAAGCAGACAGCCAGGTCTTGCTCCCATGGAGCTGCGGGGTGCATTTGAACCACCAGCATTAGGGTTTTCAGCCAAGCACTTAACTGTTGTACCACCAGGGATTCTTTAAAAGACCATAACCAAGAAAAATACCAAACCCACTGACAGAATTGACGCCTGCCCAAGGTGATCCTTTGTAAGGTTTGAGAGACTGCAAATCTTTACAGGAAGCAGATAGCCTCATCTGTTTTTTCTGAGGAACAGCTGATGGGTTGAGCTGCCGACCTTGGGGTTAGCAGCCCAGTGCTTACCCAACAGTGCCACCAGGACTCCTTGAAAAGATCCTAGGTGGTCCCTAATAAACACTGATACCCTCCGGTTAGGTCTATTCTGTCCCTAGACCAAATCTCTTAAATATTGACCCCTGTGTTAGTCTGGGTATTTTAGAGAAACAAATCCACAGAAACTCATGTTTAAGTGAGAGTTTCATATAAAGCTTAAGTGCACATCAAGAAAACATCTCAACCCAGTGCTGCCCAAGCCCACAAGTCCAACATTAACCCATATGTCCGCCACCAATCCACAAAGTCCTCCTCCATCTCACAAAACACACACTATGACACCGACTGCAGGAGGAAAGCCGAATCAGTGAACATGTAAGCATCTCAGTGCCGGCAGGGGTCTCTCTATACGGGTGCTCCAGCACCCAGGGCTGCATCTGGGTAGGTCCATGTGGCTTCTCCTCAGGGATGTCTTGCAGGAAGTGAGCCTTGCCAGCTCAAGCAGGAACTGGCTAAGGCAGCTGCACCCTGGTCCGACCATCAGAAATCAAGAGACCTGAGAACTAGAGAGGCGAGGCTCACCGAGCAATTTATCCTTCAGCCCTTCAATTAACCCCACATGTGTTTATTGGCCAGGTTGGCACAATAAACTAACTAACTCAACTCAACCCCTAAATGAGTCATGCTCAAGTTTGCAACATCTCTTGGACTTTGCTGTTTGGACTGCTGTCCACTGCCTGGGGGTGACCAACTCTATTACCAAATTCAGCCTACTTGAAGCAACCTCACTCTTTTCTAGCTCATCTCAAGTACTTAGCATACCTTAAGGCTATGGTCTCAGTGCTTATGACAACATCTTGGTTTTTAGAGTTTCTAAACAGCTTTTGAGTACATCTTATTGGAGTCTTGTAAAAGCCCTGTGAAAGAAGTAGGGAGGTTATTGTTAACCCTGTATGTTGGACATATTATCAGGGAGACGAGTCCCTGGAAAAGGACATCATGTTTGGTAAGGTAGAAGGGCCGCAAACAAGAAGAAAGTCCTCAAGACGATGGATTGACCCAGTGGCTGCGAGGATGGGCTCAAGCATAGGAACGGTTGTGAGGATGGCGCAGGACTGCGCAATGTTTCGTTTGATAGTGCATAGGGTCGCTATGGGTCGGAACGGACTCAATGGCACGGAACAACAATAACAACATTGATAAGGAAACTGAGGAGGGTTATAACTAATGAATGGAGAACAGATTTCCTCATTTGAATACCCTCTTTACTACTCTCTTTACTATATCAGAGAAACTGGATAATAAGACGAAGAATGCAGCATCAGGACTGGGGGAAGGCTTATTAACAACCTGCTATATGCAGATGACACAACCTTGCTTGCTGAAAGTGGGGAGGACTTGAAGTACTTGCTGATGAAGATCAACATCAACGTTTACAGCCTTCAGTGTGAATTACTACTCAATGTAAAGAAGACCAAACTCCTCACAACTGGACCAATGGGTAACAAATCGAGAAAAGGTTGAAGTTGTCAAAGATCTTGTCTTACTTGGATCCACAGTCAACGCTCGCTCGTGGAAGCCGCAGTCAAGATCAAAAGATGACTTGCACTAAGTAATCTGCTGTACAAGGCCTCTCTAGAGTATTGAAAAGCAGGGGAATCACTTTGAGGACTAAGGTGCGCCTGACCCAAACCATGGAATTTTCTTTCTTCTTTTTAAAAAAATTTTTTTCCTTGGACTTTTTATTTATTTAAAAAAATTTTTAATGTATTTTTTAATCATTTTATTGGGGCTCTTACAACTCTTATCACAATCCACTCATACATCAATTGTGTAAAGCACACTTATACATTCGTTGCCTTCATCGTTCTCCAAAACTCTCGCTTTCCACTTGGGCTTCTGGAACCAGCTCCTCGGGTTTTTGTTGTTTTATTTTTGCCATGAAATTTTCAGTTGCTTCACGTGCATGTGAAAATGTGGACAATGAGTTAGGAAGACTGAAATAAACATGGATGCATTTGAATTGTGGTGCTGGTGAACAATATTGATGAAAAGTCCATGGACAAACAACTGTAAAGTAAAAGGACAAACACAACTGTCTTGGGAGAAGTAGGGCCAGGGTGCTCCTTAGAGGCAAGGATGACGAGATTTCGCCTTACATACTCTGGACATATTGTCAGGAGAGACCAGTCCCTGAAGGACAGCATGCTCGGTAACCTAGAAGGGCAGTGCAAAAGAGGACGGCCCTTTGTTCTGGCGTGCGTGGGGTCAGTATGGGTGAGAACCGACTGTGTGGGAATGGACTCACTGGCACCTAACGATTTTACTACTCCAGTTACTCAAAACATCGAGTGTCTATTCTGTGGCACGTACTGAGCCTCAACCCCCTCTCTCTTTCACAGGTCATTGTGCTAGAGTTTCAAATAAAAAAAGTTAACCTCAGGGGGGTTAGCCTGACCTTCCCTCCTCTCTCCTGAGACATTGTATAGATCAGCTACTCTCCAGGTTCCTGCGGCCTGTGCCCAGCTGGGTCACAGGACACAAGAATATTGTGTCATCTATTTCCAGGAACAGCCAGTCCTGGGAGGCAAGCCTTGATCTGGAGTTGGAGTCTCTTTCCGAAGGGGAACAATGGTGGAACCCTTTGAAGAGAAACTACATTCCTGAGCAGATGACAGCTTTTGCGTTTCTCTGTGTGAGGAGAGCATGAGGCTGCCTCATGGCTCAGGATGGAAATTTTCAAAGGAAATCTTTCTGTTGGTGGCCTTTTGGATGGAGATAGGCTATACACTCCACGGCTGTTGTATTATCTTGTGTTATGTTGTGGGAGGAGAAAGTATATTTCAATATGAAAAGAAACCTCTCCCACCCAGAGGAGGATGGGGGACCTCTCCTCTGACAGTAGGAAGTCAGTTTCTGAGGAGAAAGGAAATCTCTGCAGTAAAGGAATGTGTTTCTTTTTTCAAGTGGGGGGTGGGGGTGGCTGGGAGGGGGGCGGGCAGAGAGTTTTCTCTCAGAGAATGTGGCCTGTGAGGGGAGGGAATGCTTATTCTTTCCTTCCTTTCCTAAAGGAGGAACTTCCTTGGACGAGTAAACCTTCCTTGCTTCCTAAAGGAAAAACAAAAACACAAAACCAGAGAACAATTCTAATGAGTTTATGCCAGCGTCTCTCTTCCTTTCTGCTGTTCTCCCCACATGGAGTCAGCATACTCTGAGAGGGAGTGGCTAATCATTTTTCCTGCTTGGGAGGTTGGGAAGCTGAGAAGGGAAATTTGCCACGGAGGAAACTTTTATTATGAGAGACCAATTGTGAGGGCAGTAACTCTGAGATGGAGAAATCCCCGTGAGGCTGAGGAAACCTTAAGGAATCGCAGAACACAGAGTGTTAAAAGGAGCTTAGAGATGTACTAGGCTGGTCCAAGTTTGCTTACAAGGAGACTGGGTTTTGAGGAAGAAGGTCTTGCTGCTAAGTGACAGAACCAGAACTTGAACCAACTTTGTCCAATCCCATCTGGGGCATTTTCTGCTCCAGCTGCCTGGGAGAAGGGAAGCTACCTTCCATTTCGAAGAGCGAAGAGCGATACTAGCAGGAAGTTGCTGGTGGAATTTTCAACCTGTGGTCAAGACATTTGTGGAGTGGAGAGTATTGATTTCTAAGGGAAGAAAATTGAGGAGGAAGAGAAAATGAGAAGGCTTTGCCCAGAGGAAAGGGGTCAGAGTAATTGTGCAATCCCCCGGGTGAGTGGTAGGGCATCCCTCTGTAGGGAATGTTTAGTTTTGAGGGTAGCATAGTGCGCTGCCAACTACAAGGCCAGTGGCTCGAACCCACCAGTCACTCCATGGGAGAAAGATGAGGCTGTCTACTCCTGTAAAAATTTAAAGTCTCAGAAACCCCAAAGGGGGCAGTTCTATTTTGCCCTAGGAGGTCACCATATGTTGGAATCAACGTGATGACAGTGCGTTTGGTTTTGAGAAGGGAAATACCTCGCCCCTAGGCATGCAATGAACCCACCTGGTGGTGTAACTGCAAGGTGAGCAGTTCACATCCACCAGGCACTCCAAGGGAGAAACTCAGGGCTTTCTTCTCCAATAGAGTTCTAGTCTGGGAAGCTCCCAGGGGCAGTTCTACCCCGTCCTACAAGGTCACAATGGCAGTGAGTTTGATTTGGGTTTTGGAGGAGTGAAGGAGGGGGGGTCTCTCATCAAGGTGCCAAGGGAATATGTGCATATTTCTCTAAGAAATATGTGCATATTTCTCTAAGACTTGAGGAATTTATCATATCCTGTCTCTCCAGAGGGAGTTATTTTAATCACTTTAAAATCAGAGGAGGGAGGTATGTGAATTATATCTCAATAAAGCTGTGATTTAAAAAAACTGAAAGCCAAACAGCACGGCACAGGAGAGAACAGCTCAGGGGCTGGCTGTGCCGGGCCAGGAGTGCAGTGGTCTCTCGTTTTGCAGCTTCCTTTCCTCACACCACTATTTCTTCTGCCCCATTCCTATCTTGCTCTACAAAAAGCCAAGGCCAGCTCATCCAGAAAGCAGTCAGAGGTTACAGAAGAAAGAACTTGACAAACACACAAGGCACCTCCTCGTTTACTGTAAAATCCTGTTTAATGTGTAACATTCCAGGCAGAGAGCGAGAGGCCTTGGGGACTAAAGGCAAAGGCAGCCCTTCCCAACCACCAACTTATCTGCCTGCTTCTCCTTTCCTAACTCCCCCGCTTCAGACGCTGCCATCCAGCACAGGGTTTTGTTGGGTTTTTTTTTCTCTTGTCCTTACCTTCCCTTCTTCCATAGGCCCACAGCATACCTGTCTTCACTTCACTTGCCCATATCCCTCCCCACTGATGTGACTGAAAAATAGAGTATCTGACAGTACAGGGTTAAGATTAGTTTCATAATTGGAGCTACTGTCACACCATCTCATCTCTTGTCCCCAGTGGTCTCCGGGAGAGGGAAAGGGAAGAGTAAGGGGTGGGGGGACTGGCCGAAAGAGTTGCCCATGCCTACCCTGCATCCCCTATTAACCCGGAGGACTGGATTCTGTGACTTCCGGCTTCCTCCCTCCGAGGTCACTCAGAAGGAAGGCCCTGGAGGAAGGCAGAGTGGGAGGGAGGAAAGGTTTTGATCCAGGGTTTCCTAGCAGGCAGAGGCCTGCATAGCAGCAGGGGGGAAGGAGGAACAGGCCCAGGATAGGGTGGGGGCGGCCTGGGACGTTGCCTGGTATGTGGCATCAGCAGGCTGAGCAGCGGTCACTCTTCTCGGCCAGGCCGGCACCAGTGCCGGGGCTGCGGCGCAGTATGTCTTTCAGGGAGCCATCCTGCTCGCTCAGCAGCTTGTTGATCTCGTTCTGCTTGTATTCCGGTGAGAAGCGGTGGCCAAAGCCTGAGCCCTTTCGGGAGGGCGGATTGGAGTGGTGCTGGGCTCGGCGAGCGCAGGCCCGGATGATGAGGTATACCACCTCAGCCACATTGAGGATGATGCAGATGCCCGAGGCGGCTAGCATAAAAACGGTGAAGACCGTTTTCTCTGTGGGGCGGGACACAAAGCAATCCACGGTGTTGGGGCAGGGGTAGGCCTCGCACTTGACCAGTCGTACCATGGCGTAGCCGGGGTAGAGTAAATAAAAGACGTACATGAAGACGGCCTCGAACAGCAGCCGGAAGACTACGCTGATGACATAGGTCCACCACAGTGTCCCTGAGATGTGGACCTTGTGCCTCTTCACCTCCTCCAGGTGGAGAGGGTCCCCGTGGCCCTCACGCCGTAGCATTTTCTTCTCTAGGTGCTGCTGGTGAGCCACGTGCATAGCCACAAGGAGAGCGGGCGTGGAAACCAGGATGAGCTGCAGAGACCACAGGCGAACATGGGAAATAGGGAAAAAATGGTCATAGCAGACGCTGTTACAGCCAGGCTGGAGGGTGTTGCAGATGAAGGAAGACTTTTCGTCCCCCCACACACTCTCTGCAGCCACCACCAGCACCATGATTCGGAAGATGAAGATGACCGAGAGCCACACCCGGCCAATGGCGGTGGAGTGCCGGTTCACACCACTGAGCAAGGTGTACAGACCCGCCCAGTTCATCTTGCCTCATTCACACCTGTAAAACATGAGCCACAAGGCAAGGTGTCAGAGAGGTGGGACAATAAGATCGGGACGATAGCACGGCCAGTCACCCCCCGCCCCCCCACAACCTCTTCTAAGAGTCAGAGGCATGAAAGGAAGCAAGAGCCACAGCTTTCCCCATGACGACAATCTCCTTTGCTTACCTCTCCTCCTCCTCCTCCTCCTCTCACACGGGCCTTGACCTTCCTGAGCCCCGCATCCCATTCCCTTTCTTCACTTTCACCCAATGCGTTTTTTCCCTCTCTAGCCCTTCTCTTTGCCAGATCAATCTTGTTCTCCTATCAGATAGTCCTTCCTGCTCGCTGTCTCTCAGCTCGTGGGCTCTGGACCTGGGGCAAACCCAACAAAGCCCTATTACCTTGAGTGCCTGTCTCTGAGGCCACCCAGACAGGTCCCCTATGGTCTCATATCTGTGCAGGGGGAGTAGTCCCTGGGTCCGTGCCTGTGTTCCGATTCATCACAGCCGGGTGCTGGGGAGTCATATGCTGCTTTATACCCAGTGTTTGCACAATGAGACCTTTGTGGGGCTCTGAACAACGCCCTTTAGAATTCAGATCAAACGCCCTGACTTCCGCCCACCCTACACACAGAGCACTTGTGTCCCAGCGCCCGACACCCAGCCTGCACCCACCTGTTCTGTGCCCGCCCGGTCCATCGCCACCCCCGTAACATAGCCCCACCAGAAGAACAGCCATGGTTGCGGGGTGTGTGTGTGGGGGAGTTGAAGTAGGGGGGAGCAAGACAGAGAGATGGAACAAAGACAGGTGTATGTAAGACAGGACCTCAGGGAATCAGGAGTTTCGGGGCTGAGGCCCTCCTCCAATGGCCCTACCAGAAACTTAGGGTCAGCAGGATTTTTTCCTAGGCTTGGATCCACTCCAGGGTGTGAGCGAGCTACCAGGAAGGACCCCAACACCACCCCCCCCAAAAAAAAACAAACCAACACAACTGGCAACAACAATGAAAAAAAAACCCCACTGCTATCAAGTCAACTCCTAGTTATGGCGACCACATAGGACAGGGTAGAACTGCTCCTTAGGGTTCCGGAGGTGGTCATCTTTATGGGAGCAGACAATCCTATCTTTCTCCCGTGGAGCAACTGGTGGGTTTGAACTGCTGACCTGGCAGTTTGAAGGCCGGTGCTTATCCCCCAGCACTGCATTTATCCAGCCAGAGACCAATTGATCTGAGCATGTTTTCATGTATACTTTTGTTTCTTTTTTGAACCTACTTAGCAAGCCTCAGAAGAGGCTGAAGCAGAAGTTTAGGCCCTTTCCACAGCACTCCTTGTGCTTTGACCGATGGTGTCAGGAAAAGAAAAGGCTAGTGGTTTAACAACAACAAAGCAAAATGTAAAAGCTAAATGTTACTGGTAAACATAAGAGAAGTCGGGAAGCGGTGGACCTGTGAACACTTTCAACTCCAGTGTCCTAGAACAAACCCTGTTCATCCCTCCCTGAATTTGAGGAAAGAGAACTCAGCCAGAAGGTGGTAAAGTTGTTATATGGGGAGTACAAAACAGAAGGAGAAAGTTGAGAGTCACCAGCAGACAGAAGGTTAGGAGATGGAATATATAAGAATCACTGGTGGCTTTGGGTTCATTCAAATCCTGCCCTATGGCTACTTACTTAATTTCTCTGAGCCTGCATGCTTTTCTGTAAACGTTAGTACCTGAGGGTATTAGGACATTCAGTGAGACAAACATGCAAAAGTTCTTAGCTCAGCTCCAATTTCAATGTTGATGATCAAGAGAAGTAAGAAACTTCTCAGGAAAAGAAAACAATGCGCTTTAAGGGACTAAGTCAGCGGTTCTCAATCCTTTCACAGGGGCCACCCAATTCATAACAGTAGCAAAATTACAGTGATGAAGTAGCAACGAAAATAATTTTATGGTTGGGGGTCACCACACATGAGGAACTGTCTGAAAGGGTTGTGGCATCTGCTAACCCCAAGATCCCTCTTTTTGACTTCTTGGTGTCCTTGTTGAACTCCATCATCTGTCTGAGATAGGACAGGCTGTTCAGTTCCTGCCCTGCCCCCAAAGTTAAGCACATACATTATCGTAACATCATGTTTTAGGAGCTTGCCAGTTGTGCTAGGGGAGAAATTCCCTTCTGCCCCCAGGCAGACAAAACAAAGGCCTCTCCTTACCTTCAACTTCTTCTGCTATTAAGTCTGCAAGAAGATCAAATTAGAAGCAAGGAACTGGGTTAGATGTAAAGAGAGCACATTGATCTGGACTCACAGGAAATGCTGGGCATTTCCTGCCCTCAGTCATTACCCCACTGCCAGGGCAGTGGTTGTAGGAGAAACCCCATACCTATCTCTAGATGAGACTTTCTATTGTAGAGGGAAGGGGTAGGATATAAATAACTGAAAGAGATTAGGGAAAGGCATGGAAGAAAATGCGAGAAGGCATGGTCTATGGGGGCATAGGTTCTCTGAACAATGTCTCTTTATTGAGCTAAAAAAAAATCTTTGTGAATCCATACTGTGTGCTCAAATCATTGTGGGAAGGTAGCAGAGGTACCTTTCCTCCCAAACCAGGGATTCTGAAGGCAGAGCTGTGGTGGGAGATACCAAAGTTAGCTCTAAAGAAATGAGATGTGTTAGACTGGAAAATGGGTGGTTTCAAGGAGAAGGCTAACAGCCGTTCACTGAGTACTCGGGGGCCAAGCCTTTGCAAGCACTCCATCTTGTGTAATCTTCTGAACAACCTTCTGAGGTAGGCGTGGTTATCTTCCTTTTCCAGATGAGGACACCAAAGCAAAGGAAGGTGAAAGAACTTGCTCAAGGGTTAGACAAATAATAAGTGTCAAAGGTGGCCACTGAGTTGGCCCAAATGACATTCAGAGCCCATACTCATTCTCAGAAATCCTACTGCCTTGGCTGAAATAACCACTTTTATTTCTGCAGGGGTTATTCGAAATGGAGAGCTTCAAAGTTGGCCCTTCTTCTCTAGCCATTCCTTCCTCTCCCCTTTCCTATCGGCTGACAACGTTTCCCCCTCCTTCCTTCTCGGGGCTTTCTATTGCTTCTTCTTTGGCTCCCGCACCCATCTTTATCTTTGCCAGGTTGCTTCCTCTTGCTCCAAAGCAAGCCCCAGTTATTCTCTTTTCTCTGTACCTGCAGCTGCATTCTCAAAGACAGTTTGGCTACCATGGAGTACTTGGGTTCTCCTAGCTCTGTTTCTCATCTTCTAGAGCCACCCGGGACATAAACTGTTAGTTTTCTTTGTGGCCCCTTATGACCCCTGTGTGGGCACTGAGCTATCAATCTCTGCCTTCCACTTTGGAAGAGGATCATTATATCAACATCAATACCTCATGGGCTTCATTGAAGACTCTAATGACCACAAAAACATCCAAGGGAGTGATCTGATTTTGAAATTCAAACCATTTTAGTGACTGTGGGTTAAAGTCCGGGTTCTGTGTTATTCCAACCAGGTTTTGTCCTATTTAATTAGAGAGGACTTCTCTGTTCATGTCACGCTTTGTTCATGTCAGGCTTTGGCCCTACCCACAGACTCAGATTTGCCCCAGCACTAAAGCACAGTTCAAAATCAGGGGATCACACTTAGTCCTTACAACAATTCTGTAATAGTATCCCCATTTTTCAGACAAGGAATTTGAGGCTCAGAGAGAGATTAAATAACTCATCTCAATGGCAGTTGTACTGCTGCTAAGTCGTAGAGTCAAATTTCGAATTTATTTGTGTCTCACCTCAAAACCACTGTTTTTGACAACCTCTCTGCCTGTAAGGAGTTTGTATTCTAGCTGAGACCAGGCCCACAACTCAGAAACTCCTTCCCGTGCGATTGTCTGTATATGTAGGTGCCACACACATATTCATCAAGCTTGCCCCCACTTCTTTCCTTGTCTCCACCCGCTTCTAAGGACAAGAAAACCCTTGTGCTTCTTTGGTTTGGCGAAGAGGAGTCTGGTTGGGCAGGATGAAGTACCTTCAGCCTATAACACTGCATTCGCTCTCACGCATCACAGGCAGCCCTAGATGCTCTCAGTGGCATTAACAGCCCCTCTCTGGAGGCAACCCATTACCCAGCCTCTGGGCAGGAAACAACATGGGGCTTTCTTTGAGATGTCCTTCTAAAAGTTCTGGCTGCCTTCATTAGTTTGGGCGGCTAAAGCCAACCTCTTCTTCAAGCTCTCTTCTTCGCCCCTGCCTCTACTCGATGACTCTACGGTACCTCACTCATTGGACTTTACCTCTCGACCTCTGGCCGGCATACTCTGTGACCAGGCATAGGTCAGGTCCACTTAAGCTCATTTCAATGTTGTCTTCCTTTGCTATGCTCTTTCCACAGAACTGCTAGTGTCCAAAAAAAAAAAAAAAAAAAAAGAACTGCTAGTGTCAGCTCCTTTATTCACTGGTTGGACTGTACCCCCTTATTTTTCCATCACTCATCTGACTCTCTACTTGGGCTTATCATAGCAGGGACCAGTTATGGAATGCTTACCAGGTGCTAGGAGCCATAAGTTCATCAGCTTTCACCCTCACAACACCCTGGTTCGTGTCTCTTTTCATAAAGAAAATGAAGGCTGGGAGAAGTTGAGCAGCTTATCATATAGCTTGTAAGAACGGGGGCTCTGATAAAGACTCATGGCACCTCACCCAATCCTCAGTCCTCTCTGCATTGCAACAGTGCATCTGTGTCTATACTTCTCTCCATTCATCCCTGTCTTGCCTCCATTTTTCTCTCCTCATTTCATTTTATAAATCCATGCATTCAGCAGTGCCAAGCCCAACAGCTGGAACAACTTCCAAACAGCTGGCAGGGCATCCCTCTTTAGATTTCCAAACCAACAGCGACTCCAAGCACCTCTTGAGTTTGCTGGTCTCCCTCCAGAACATGGACGTGCACGTTCCCAAATCTTCAACCCTGTTGGCTGGCCCTCTGCTACCTGCTGAGCACACTGTATTCTCCCACTCACAGCCCCTATGCTGGTTGCACACATGCTTTACCTTGTAATTGTGGGAGGAAAAGAACACCATCCTGGGCCCAGTAGTCTCAAGTAACCCTAACCCAGAAATGTTGTATGGAGAAGAACTTGGCTACCCTGAGCCTAAGGGGTACTTTAAGAATTCCTGGGAATTTGACCCTGTGAGAATGAGTGAAACACTTGAGTGAGGAGAGAAAGAGAGAGAATGAGAGAGAGAGAGAGAGAGAGAGAGAGAGAAGAAACGCCTTTGAATGTGGAAAGAGGATGAGAGTTGGGGACTGCAGAGAGAGCCTAAGCAAGCTTGACACCTGGCAGGAGGGGCCTCATCCCAGCTCAGAGGTTAAGCACGGAAGGAGTTTACATGACTGAATGCTGAGACCAAGAGGAGCCAGGACCTGGGACTCTGCCTAGTCCCCATTTATGCCCACCCTGTGCCACACCAGCCCTCCCGGCCCTCCCTCATGCCCCCCCTCCTCACCTCCTGGG